TTGCCTCATTATTATTATTATTATTATTATTATTATTATTATTATTATTATTATTATTATTATTATTATTATTATTATTATTATTATTATTTAGAGAAGGATCCCTTCAGTGGGAGAAAAGCAGCACAGAAATTAAATGAAGCAAGCTTCACTAATTTGGAAACATTAGTGTCTGAGCATCAGTGATTGAATTGTTTAACAATATCTTAATATTATCATTATAGAATGGAAAAAAATCTTCTGCTGTCAGAATCTCAAGCACTCCAGAGTCAGTTCCAGGCAACCCTTGTAGAAAAGGAGCGGCAGATAGCAGAATTACAGAGAATGCATCATGAAGTGGTATCTCAGGGATCTTTAGCTGCTTCTGGTGGTTACCCAAACAAGGTAAAACCTGTTCGGGAAGTTTGTCAATTGTCTACAGTGTGTAACATTCTGAATTTTATTTGAATGGTTTAATTTATAACTCTGTAGCTTTGCAAGTCACACAGATTGTGAAGCTGTTGTCTTATACTGAGGAGTACATCCACTGAAAGGAGTAGTGTTTACCTCCCGGTAAAACTGTACTTTAACTGCACTGTAGCTAGAGAGTCATTCAGTTTAAGTTTTATTTAAACTCAAACTATAAATTGAATTTTAGAAATAAGTTGGGAATTAACTGGCTTCCGATTATGGTATAACTAAACTCATCATACTGAGGAAAGATCTGAGAAGTACCATTATGATTGCAGAGGTTTTGTCTGCTGCAGGCTCCAGTATTTCTTCACCTCACCTCACCCCTCTTCCAAAAGCAGCACAATTTAAGAAGTAAAGGTGGCAGCCGACTTACTGTGTTCTCCCTCTTCAGCTGTTTTTTCTGCCAGAGGAGGGGGAGCAGGAGGAGGAATTCACAGGTGCCCCAGCTTTGGGAAAGCTCTGAGTGTATGAGATGAGAATTTGTTGCTGCATCAGGGCTTGGTGGAATGAATGCTTTTCATGGATGCAGCCCTGTTGGGAGATGAGCTCCTCAACTGCTGTGTCTGAGTTGCTTGTGGATTCCCATGCCAAAGTCATACTGGCCACCATGGAAACTGTAATAGCAAATTCTCAGACTTGTAACTATCAGTGCTGCTGTTAGGTAGCTGTCTCTTAGGTGGCTTGATCAAGGGGTGGCAGCTTGGCTGTTATTAAAAAAACACACATTCTTGTCCTCTCACTGATGTTTAGGGGTGGGGGTCTAAATGCTGCAATTCACTAATTATGTTTAAATAATGTTTTATGTTTTTTTAAAAAAAACATTAGGGAGAGAACAAAGAAGGAGGCCTGTACAAGTTTGGGAAATCTTTTTTAACATCCCTTCAAATAGCACTGATTCAGGTTCTGTCCTACCTCACTAAACACTGAATATGGTCCCTATATGTATCTGCAAAATACAGAAATTGAATGAGTACAACCCTGGTAGCTAGAATGGATTTTTCTCCTTTTCTGTCTTACGGCTTTATTGTAGTCACTTAGCTTAAGATATTCAAAATGTAAATAACCTCTTCTGTACCCTTCTCATGATAGAAATATTTAGCTTTTTTGGTGATTAAATGTTGATCTGAACTATGTGGAAAAAGAGTGATAAAGTATTAGCATTCTGCTGCATTATCCAAACTAAACAGAGACACATCCATATTCCAGTCTGTTTGTTCGGAGTAAAAACTTCATTTTTTTCACAACACACAGAAACTTGATTTAGTTTAGGATTATTTGTGTTGCTTTCTCTAATAAACCTTACCAATAAAAGATGCAGTTCACAGTTTCCTTAAATTATGCTACATCCAGGATTATCCTCTGAGAGTGGCCTTATGCCCCCACGCCATGAAGGTGAGTTTTCCCCTGACCATGCCAGATTAAATGCACAATATCACACAGGCATAACATCATATCCCGCATTCAGGATAATCCACGGTCTCTTGGCTTTGCTCAGTTCTTTTGCTGAGGAGACACTAAATCCAAGGACACTCATGATCTGATCCTGGAGCAACTTAGGGTGGAAGGATAACAGAACAGGACAACTGCCCAGAATGGTGCTGTGGCACTATTGGGTGTGATATATCAAACTGAATAAATGAACTCAAGATTTACACAGAACAACAACAAAAAACATCTCAAAGAATTGTATTTGCGAAGGCTTTCATAGCCGGGGGTCTAATGGTTGTTGTGGGTTTTTCGGGCTCTTTGGCCGTGTTCTGAAGGTTGTTCTTCCTAACATTTCGCCAGTCTCTGTGGCCGGCATCTTCAGAGGACAGCACACTGTGCTCTGGTGTAGTTGGCTTGGGAGTGGAGTATTTATGGCTGTGAGATGGGCTTTTGTCTTTTTCTGTAGATGGGTGATTAGTGTGTCTTGTTTTGGGTGTATTGTTATGATAAGAAGGAGAGATTATCTGTCAATGTGGTTGAAGGGTGTCATCAACTGGTCTTTTGTCTGTAGTGATCCCCAGTCCTTGTGGCTGGGTAGAGGTCATTTACCTTTTGCACACTGTATTTTTGAGAGCTGGGAGCCAAGTTTTGTTGAGTTTCAAACTTTCCTCTTTTTTGTTGAAGTTCTGCTGGTACTTGTGGATTTCAATGGCTTCCCTGTGCAGTCTGACGTAATGATTGCTGGTGTTGTCCAGTATTTCGGTATTTTGAAATAGAATTTCATGTCCAGTTTGTTTTAGGGCATATTCAGCTACTGAAGATTTTTCTGGTTGTTTTAGTCTGCAGTGTCTCTCATGTTCTTTGATTCTGGTGTGGATGAGAATTTAAGAAGAAATAAAGAATTCCAGTAGTAAATCACAACTAGAGTAGGCCTTTTGAATCAATTGAATTTATAGTGGAATTGACTCACCAGATCTCCACTGGGCTTACTTACAACCAGATTTCAGCCACTGATTTGCTCTGTCTTCTTAGATTACCTGCATATAAGTGTGAAAAAAGATTGTTTTTAAGCAACAGGGCAGTATGAATATAGAAAGTCCAAGAAACATAGCCAATCCCTCTCATTTTTGTATTGTTGTCCAAGGGATTAGAAACTGTTGCTCTTGTTGGAAGTACAGATGTCCCTGAACAAATGAATCATCTGCTGGATGAGAGGAACCGGCTTCAGAATGAACTCCAGCGCTGTCTTCAGGAGATGCATCAAAGAGAGCTGCGATTCCAGCAGATAAATTCAAAGGTAAAGAAGAATGTAGAAACGCAACTACAGTGGTGTCTCACAAGACGAGCGCTCCATTTTACGACAAAATTGCATTACAGCAAAGTTTTTGTGATCGCAAAAGCGATCGCAAAACTATGTTTCCTATGGAGGAATTTCGCTTTGCGATGATCAGTTCCCTGCTTCGGGAACCAATTCTCACAAAACGACTATTTTCTATTCTTTTACACTTACATTCTGGACACAGTTACTTTTGCGGCTGGGTTTGTTGGAAAAGTATTATGTTTTGTGTGGGAATGGGTGACACTGTGTTTTTGAGACACTTCAGATTGTCTCTTTGAGTGGAGGAGGCCATTAGTGTAGAGCAGGGGTTTTAAACTCAATTTACCTGGGGGTCGCTAGAGACAGAGTCTGGGTGAGGCTGGGCCGCATCAGATTTTCCGCCAAGCAGAGCAAGAGCCTGAGGAAGCTGCCCAGGAGTTTCCTTAGCTGACAGACAGGTGGGCTGGCTGGCAGGCTGCAGTTCTGGATGGAGGGTGCAAGAGGTGCTGTCTTGGGAGAGAGCCGGCGAGTGAGGCAAGGCTTTTTTTTTACTCTTGACAGCAGAGGATGTGTGGGCGCTTTGGGGGGGCAGGCAAGGCGAGGGCCACAAACTATCATCTGGGGGACCGCAAATGGCCTCCGGGCTGCATGTTTGAGATCCCTGGTGTAGAGGAAAAAATGGAAGAAAAGTGGTCCTATGAATTTGGAAGAATCACAAAGTTTCTGGGTGGTGAACAGTTAAAACTGTTGCTTGTTTGCATTTAAAAATGTATGTCAGAAATTTTAAAAATGCCTTTCAAGTAGCAGTTAACTGTTGAAATGGTGTTATGAATGCATATATTCTAGACATTTGCAGACTTACCTGATAAGGGAAAAATACCACATGAATATCTCCTGTTTAATGAAAAAAAAAAACACAATTTAGAGTCTATGGTTATGGGCAAAGCTTGGAAACAGGGGCAGGAAAAGGTAAAGGTTCCCCTTGACATTTAGTCCAGTCGTGTCCGACTCTAGGGCGCAGTGCTCATCCCTGTTTCCAAGCCATAGAACCAGCATTTGTCTGAAAGTTTCCATGGTCACTTGGCCAGCACGACTAGACACGGAATGCCGTTACCTTCCCACCGAGGTGGTACCTATTTATCTACTCGCATTTTTACATGCTTTCAAACTGCTAGATTGGCAGGAGCTGGGAGAAGCAATGGAAGCTCACTCCCATAAGTGTCTGTTAAAAATCTTAGAAACTAGAGGAAATTTCTAAAGGGTGGTGCTTCAGTTTACCATGAAAGATACATGCTTTCTATTCTACTGAGGTGCAGGATTCGCTCCTCTGAATCCACCATCCACTGCAGGATGCTGTTTCTCTCCCCCCTACACACCACCACCACTAGACTGAATGGTAAGCAGCAAGGGCCAGGTTTTAGAAAGCAGGGTGGAATTAAAATTGTTGGTAGTTGTAAGCACTGGGGTAATTGATCAAAATGTCCTAGGGTAATGTAGTATTCTGGTCGGTCCCTGTGGATAATGCTAATGTCCAGCAGTCACCAGAACACCAGAGAAACGGAAGGCAGTGCAGCATAGGATCAGACATGTGGGTCATATCTGTACCCATGGACTTTGCTAGGCCTGTTCTTTCTTGCCTCTATAATCCACCAATCCTTTTACATGTACAGTAGTACCTCGGTTTACAAATTTAATGCATTCTCCGGGACATTACGTAATGCAAACAATTTGTAAACCAAAATGCAGATTGTGGTACAATGCATCCTGGAGAAACTTAGTACTGCGAAAAAAACCACGATAAACCAAGGCATTATTTTCAGTGGATTTTCCTTCGTAAACCAAAAATTACGTTAACCAAGGCGCTCGTAAACCGAGGTACCACTGTATCTCTCTACACTTTTCCTTCTGCCACTGAAAGCCATGTGATGTAAAGTGGTTGGAAACCTCAAGTGCTGGTTGCTTTGTAGATTTTTGAGTTCTTTCCCCCTTAACAGCATCTTTCTATGCCTGGAGTGGGGGAAATAATTTTAAAGTTGGCTCAGTTTCAAAAGCTGGTTGCAGTTCAGTAGCAGGTAAGGTTTTTCTAAAAGAGAAGCTCAGATGTCTTGCATCTAATAGCCCCTGTGGCAGCCTTTATGAACCTTTCTTCTGGTGCATTGACCTTTAGAAGCATCATGAGCAGTACACAGCAAGCTGCCTACTCAGATTTACTTGATCGTCTCAGCTTGAGCCAGCCAATATAGGAGTGCTCTGTTTCATGTGCAGATGGAATTCCAGTGGAATCTCCCCTGTTGGAGGGGAAAGGGAAAGCTGTGGCTTAGATGTTATGCACCAATTGCCTTGCATCCAGAAAGTCCTACCTTTCATCCATGCCGTCTGCAGTTAACAGGACTAGGTGGCATGTCACAAAAAGACTTCTTCCTGAGACTGCAGTCAGTCAGTCGACAAACATTGCACTAGATGGACATATTTATCTGGTAGAAAACATCTTCCTGTATTCCTGTCAAATTCATGTACTTTAAACTGTGTGTTGAACATGAGCATCCATTCTGTAAACTTTGGATAGGATGGGCAGTGTGACCTGCTGTTTTTGAGATCCCAGCTCTGTGTGTTGCCTCTCTAATAGTCTTAAAAAATAGAGATCTCCGGAGAGGTTGATATTTACTCAAAACAAGCTCTGCTGCTGCCCAAAAGTACCTAGAAGGGGATATCCTGGCATTTCTAGCTGTGTTTTCTTTTTCCTTTGTGTTTTCTTCTACAGTATTTACAGGCCTGTGTTGTCCTGACTGTTCATAGTCTTATGGGTGAGATAAGTCAGATAATCAGCTTGAGAAAATAAGTTGTTTGGTGCTTTACATGGTTTAAATTCTTGCAGGTAATGCAGTCAGTAGAAGAAAATGCTGTATTATCTGCTCAGTTAAAAACAGTGTCCCAGACTCTGCGGGATAACCAACTCCGTTATACTGACCTGCAGAATCGTTACTTGCAGCTTGAGAGGGAATACCAAATGCAAATTGCTTCTGTTCAAGGTCCTGCTCAGGTAAGAAAGCACAGCACGTCCTTGTTTGTTTTTTTATCTTCATTCTGGAGCTCTGCTCGGTGCAAAGTCAAAAGCAAATCCACTTCTGAAGACAGAAATCTCATTGATGCTTAGAGTGCCTGTTGTTTTTGTCATGGAAAACAACCTCCAACTCAACAGTTTTAAAAGAAGAGTGGGGACAGTAGCAGAATAGAAGACAAAAAAAATTGGTCAGACTTTGCTCCCCAGAGGGGTGGAAAGTTTGTTCTTTTCCAGCTTTCTTTCCGACTCTCTCTGATGTTTATGAAGCATTTGGCAAAGACCTCAAGCAGATATTTGTAGAAACCTGTGCACCAGTTACTGCAGTGTCCTCTCATTCTTTTTCTGTACTCTATGCAAAAGGGATGTGGTGGCGCTGCGGTTTAAATTGCAGAAGCAAAGTCAGAAGACCCATAGTCGCAAGATCGAATCCACGCGACGGAGTGAGCCCCCGTCGCTTGTCCCAGCTCCCGCCAACTTAGCGGTTCGAAAGCATGCAAAATGCAAAATGCGAATAGATAAATAGGTACCATCACGGTGGGAAGATAACGGTGTTTTGTGTCTAGGCACGCTGGCCACATAACCACGGAAGATTGTCTGTGGACAAACGCTAGCTCTATGGGTTGGAAACAGATGAGCCCCGCCCCCTAGAGTCAGACACGACTGGACAAATTGTCAAGGGGAGCCTTTACCTTTATGTAAAAGAAAGGACAGCATGGAAGTTACTATGGGCCTGGTAGCAGCACGTCTTGCTTAAAATTCAGGTTGAAAAGTGACAGTGTTCCTTGTGTAGCTTGTTCTTTGAGTATGCTAGAACTTGTTAGGAAGTGGTCATGCTGCTCAATAGTGTCAGGTTTTTCCATTGAATAATAAGGGAAAAGGAATCATCGTTTGCCACCCCGCAGATAATATACATTACTGACTCAGTCCTGCTCCAGTTTCAGGCTTCCATTCCAACTGAAGAATGGGCACTGGGGGCACATGGGGAGAAACAGTAGAAAGAGATGCTCCCTTGTCATCATTGCAACACAGCACAGAGTAGGACATTAGAAAAGAGACATTACTCCATTAGCTCAGAGTTGTAACGGGAGAAGACAGAGTACAGCATGCTTTTGATGTTTGTGTCATGATTTGCTACAGAGGCCAGTCAGTCTCAATGACTATACCTTGTCATACTTAAACTTTACCTTCTGACAGAGAAAGTGGCATTGAAACCCTTCAGATGTATTCCCACATGTTTATGTTACTTCTGTGCATGTGTGACATATTCCAGAACCTAACTTTGAAAGTTCAAATGACAATTATTTCCAGTTTAGAAAAAACAACACTGTTATTTGAGCTATTTAGGCAAATGCTTAAGTGCTCCCAAGAAGAACATTTTTCTGTACTGCAGACAGAAACCTATAGGTTCTTCTAGATTCTTATTCAAGACTAGATACTATAATATTGTGTTCTGTTTTGTCTGTCTAAGTCCTCTTGATACAAGTATTATATGAACTGGTGAAACTGGACACTTAAAATTGTCTGATTATTTACTGCTATAGCTTTAGATGTTTCAAGGTCTATTGCACTCTGGTTACAATCCTTTTTCATGCGCCTTTTAGACGTTAAGTTTGTAATTTAGCAGCAGAAAGATATTTCAATGATTTAATGATACCTTACCTCTGTATTTGATTTTTTTGTGTGTATAACAAGAATTTACACAGATTACAGCTGATCTTTGTTTTCTGATTCACCAGTGTTCTTGATGAAAGTTTCAAGATTTTTTACAAACTGAGAATATGATTGACCTTAATCATAATCAGTGGCAGTGGCAGTGTAACATTTAATGCAGGAAGAGAAAATATATAGAAGACAGAAATGTTACTGACAGTTAATGAATATCCCCAATTATGTCCCTTTCCCAATTATGTCCCTATATTTTTCTTTTCATCTGTGAAATTTTGCTGGTAGAAGACTTCATAATAAGAACAGATAATGATCACCATAATAATTAATTTTGAATTTAATATAGAGTACTAAATGTTTTATACCACACAATAGTTTGAATTAGGTTACTCTTGTTGAAGAATGATCTTTTGAGTTTTAAAAATAATACCTGAATAAATAGTAAAATTGTTTTAATGTATTTAGGGTGAACCTCAAACACAAGTTCCTCCGGGAGCTCCTCAAGAAAGAGCTGCAGTTATTGTTGAAATAGACAATATGGAAGTCAGTGAACTCAGGAAAAGGTAATTATTATGTCTGGTATGTTTTAAAAAGAGAGGGGTAACCATTTCAGCCTGGAAGCAAAATCTGTGATTGGGGATAAAGACACAGGGTGAATTGAATGCAAAATCTTGCTAGCTTGGATATTTTTCTACCAAGTGTGTTGTTGTTTAGTTGTTTAGTCATGTCTGACTCTTTGTGACCCCATGGACCAGAGCATGCCAGGCCCTCCTGTCTTCCACTGCCTCCCGGAGCTGGGCCAAATTCATGTGGGTTGCTTACACACCAAGTGTGTAAGGGGTGGCAAAGTTCTATGTGTGATGTCTTCTTGGGAGTGAGACTGAGTGTAAAACTTCCATAGTCTGCAAATCACAGTTCCTGATCTATGAAAAACCTTCTTAGGCTACAAACCACAGCTCTTGATCTGCACAAACTATGTCCTGAACTGCATATTTATTTCCGAGCAAAATCTTCTGTGGTTTCAAATATCTTTTTATCTCTGATCTTCAGTCACTGACTTGAGAGAAGTATAGAAGATAATTGTAGCCTGGGAAACTTCCATGGGCAGCATCTGGCTTCATGGGTTGGAGGTTTCCCATCTGTGTTGTAAAGTACATTTTGTGGACTGAAATATAAACTGTAGTATATTTCTCATGATACAATTCAAAGTATTAGGAAACGAACATTGGGTATTTACATTTTAACTTGCTTTAAAAATAAGTATTTGTAGTTTGAGTAATGTCTCTATAGCATTCTGATAAGAGTGAATTTAAATTAAAAGTGATAGATGCCATGTTTTGCATTGATTGTTTAAATTTGGGTTTGCTGTAGGCTGGCAGAGATGGAAATACAACATGATTCAGCTCAACAGACTGTATCACAGCTAACAGAAATGCTCTCCAAAGAGAAGAAAAGGCGACAAGCTGCAGAAGAGGCCCTGGGGCTGTCTGAGGATCAGATTAAAAGGTACTAGTATGTAAAAAGAGATTTGATCTAGGAAGGTGGTGTTCTTGGTAGGCAAATATTTATGTCACTGGGGTGATGTATTGACAAGCCTAACTGTGGCAGGCCATCTAGAATTAACATCTTTAGCACTCAATATTAAACAATGAAATCTGGATTAGATAAGGGATCAGGATCTAAAGAAATCACATTTCTTTCCTCTTCATGTAAACATGCACATACAGAAACACACACACGATCCTTCCAATTCAGTATTCTTAGGGAGTTACTTCCAAGCTTCCTTTTTTTTAAGGAACCCCCTTCCTCATTGACTTGCTGGCTATGGAGATTCTGCAGAGTGTGAAGGTTTAGAAACCATGTTCATTGTCGTGTCAGTCAAATGAAGTATGGAGAAAACTCTTGTCCGATGCCAATTTGATATTCTCCTGAGATTTCACATTTTAGGAGAACATTGGCAGCTGTGGACAAGATGGCATGTCTGCCATCATTCAGTGAGGACTCCAGCGTTAGCTGGAATTCAGATGAATTCTGAATTCTACTCCAGGCAGAAGGAGAAAAGGCTCTGGTTGATCTACTGCAGAGGTTGCAAAGGAGCCTGGACAGTTTATTTTACTTTGCATATTTTTATATCAGCTAACATAAAATAACATAACATTTCACACGCTAGCAAGGTTATGCTCAAAATCCTACAAGGTAGGCATCAGCAGTAAGTGGACCGAGAACTCCCAGAAGTGCATGCTGGATTTCGAAGGGGCAGAGGAACTAGAGACCAAATTGCTAACATGTGCTGGATTATGGAGAAAGCCAGAGAGTTCCAGGAAAATATCTACTTCTGCTTCATTGACTATGCAAAAGCCTTTGACTGTCTGGACCACAGCAAACTATGGCAAGTCCTTAAAGAAATGGGAGTGCCTGACCACCTTATCTCCTGAGAAACCTATACGTGGGACAGGAAGCAACAGTTAGAATTGGATATGGAACAACTGATTGGTTCAAAATTGGAAAAGGAGTACAACAAGGCTGTATATTGTCCCCCTGCTTATTTAACTTATATGCAGAATACATCATGCGAAAGGCAGGACTGGAGGAATCCCAAGACAAAATTAGGATTGCCAGAAGAAATATCAACAACCTCCAATATGCAGATGATACCACTCTGATGGCAGAAAGTGAGGAGGAATTAAAGAA